AAGGTTTTGTTTGCTAGTTATGTAAGTGTTTCTTTCTCACTGCATGACATTAAAGGTTTGGTTTGCTAGTCATGTAAGTGTTTCTTTCTCACTGCATGACATTAAAGGCTTGGTTTGCTAGTCATATAAGTGTTTCTTTCTCACTGCATGACATTAAAGGTTTGGTTTGCTAGTCATGTAAGTGTTTCTCACTGCATAACATTCAAGGTTTGGTTTGCTAGTCATGTAAGTGTTTCTTTCTCACTGCTTGACATTAAAGGTTTGGTTTGCTAGTCATGTAAGTGTTTCTTTCTCACTGCATGACATTAAAGGTTTGGTGTGCTAGTCATGTTTGCCTTTGATTTATATGACGTTCATGTTTGCTGCACTTTGGAAGGGTCAGCAATAAGTTCCGAAGTTGTCGAAATGCATTACATTATTTTCCTCTTTTCTTCCGAAGTGTTTCTTTTTTTTACAGTAGATCAATCAGTTTACTTCTGAACACACCATTGAATAGTTTAATCAGATCTCTATATACATATATTTTGGTTTATAATGAAGATGTAATTTTCCGACCACGTGAGTTTTCAGAGTTGTGACTGAACGTTGACCTTGGTGAATCGCACGTGTTAGTTCCCAGGCCCTGTATAGAGCAGATATATATAAACTGTCGATAGTGTAGGTTGTCATTCTGCCGGACTTTAAACTAACGTAAGTATGATACTCCGCCTAGCCACGTATACTGAAACTTATATTTCAAATCATTGGTGTAAAGTGCCAAAAATTCATTACTTTTTGAAATATTTTTTTTCTGAAATGTAAATATACTTCTTGAGTTTCGAAAAATGTATATTAAAGAATCGGAACAGCCCAAACTGAACAAACGACTTTCTATTGTTCACTAGGAGACAAGCTCTCGAATAAGTATGTCACAGTAATGATAGGAAAACACTAGTGATTGACAGTATTTTACCGTTTTAGTCTTTCTTACAATGACTGCGAATTTTGTTTTTTTTGCTTCACAAAAGGACAATATTCCTGAAATTTTACGGGAGGACGCAGTTACTACCTTATAGGGGTAACATTTGCCAAATTGTGACACCGGAAAATAGCTTCGACTTTTTCTGTGCCGATAAAAGGTTGTAATGTGGGTTATTTGGTGGCCAAAGGCCCAAATCAATGTTATCAGAAATATTATATAAGGTTAGTCCAGCAAAATAAAAGATACAGGGCGAGAATAGGGCATGTTTCGCACATTATATTTTCGTTACAGTGCCACACACGTCTCCATGCATGAGACATTCACAATCATAGTCACTTACGGCTACGTATCATCCTAGCTGCTACAATTGTTGTCGTTAACATCACCGAATACACTACCATTTCATTTGCACCATCTTAAGTCGCTGAGTTTCACCAACATTCGTTTTCCAGTATGCAGTGTAAATAGAATGTAAACGGAATCATAAACCATTCCGGTGTCACTCGAAAACTCCTCATAGATCGTCTATTTTACGTTCAATTGATGTTATACAGTGTACGACATCGTGACGTCATACACTTATGACGAAATAATGCCACAGGGAAGACAATAGAGAAGCAATATATATATAGCCTTTGACATGATAGAGATTTTTTGTTTTGAAAAAAAAATCAATAATTACCAGAATTCTTTTTTTGATAACGCAATTAAAAAGAGTCGTTTTCATATTATAGGAGGGTTAATATGAGAAGCTCTTATTCCTAGACTCGTCTCAATAATTTCTTATAGAAATTATGTAAGGTCTTGTAAATAGTTCATGAACTTTGAATCTACTGGAGAGTTAGTGAAATAAACGCGACGGGGAGCATTTTAATCATGCAATTGATTTGATATTATGATAAATAATAGACACTTTTTATGAAAGAATCAAAATTAATAGATCTTCGAATATCAAGAAATTGATATTATGATATAAAATGTGTTTGATGTTTTTAAAATATGCAGACATGAACGAGAAAAATTGAGTCCGTTAATTTGCAATATCACTATTAGCCTGTTTTAATGATATTATCAATTTGAATTGATGACGTCATTAGATTGTATCATATCACCAACTGTTATTGTGAAATCATGATAGTAAGAATTAACCGGATTTTACGATATCAGTGACCGAAATCGTGATATAATAAAGGAATTTAATAACATCACTAAATCAAATCAGTGTTACAGAAATTAAATAATGATATCATAGAAAATATTTGATAGTAATTTATTGTAAATACCAAAACGGCTCCACAAAGGCACTTGTGTAATATAAAGTGTTTGTAATGATTCCGTGTTGAACGCCTCAAGAAAGACAACTCTAAGTACAACATTGTATGTGTTCTTTTGGCGATGGCAACTTCAGCATAAGGCATGCTAAAGAGTTGTCTTTAATTTGCTGGCACGTGATCATATCTGTATAATTACTAATATAGGTGCGTGGCATGCGTTGTTACAACCTCGATACTCCAGGGGCTACGCTCACTTTTGCTAACTACATCCTATATGTCATAACGAAATCGTAAGAGGCGAGAAAACCAGTTTGACCCTTGATGTACATCAAAATAATATGTCGGTCATGTAACGGTGAAATTGACAGGATTTGAAGTCGGGTGTGGCTCCTCTGTAAGACAGATATTAGCCTTAGCGATTGGTCAGACCAGTCGAATAGTTAGTATCATGCCTTCAGTTTGCTATGACATATTTCAGGGATGCAGGGAGGGAAAGTGAGCGTAACCCCTGGAGTATCGAGGCTAGCTTTATAGAGCTTTATATAGCATGGCCGTGGATTATATACGAACACTATCAAGGCTAAATATCTAAACTATTATTTTTTTCAAATTTAACATACAGTGTACCTCAAATGTATATTTGATACATCATATTGTTGATAGCGTACATCTCATACGATTATTTCCCGCCATAGCCGTAAGCTCTTCAAAGCGTCCCCTCGATAATTAGTAGACGTATATAAGAAATCTTCACCTTTTCCGTGAAGGCAAAATGTTACACCTCGGATAAGCTCCGCATTAATGATTAAACGTATTCATTCTAGTAAACCGGAAAAAATATGGGAGTTTTAAAGTATCAGGTATGTTATTATACATTTAGATCTAATGAATGTTTCGGTTTCACTGTGGTTCCCTTTCTTAACCAATAAGCGATTGCACAGATGTTAAACAAAAACGTTTTGATTTCATCTGTGTATATCTGTGAGCGGTGGACATTTTCCCTGTCAAAATGCTTTCTATTTACAGACCATGAAAGTTTTTATTCTTGCTGTCCTATTGGCCGGGGCCAGTGCCGGATTCCTAGACTCTTTAACGGGCGCCCTGAACAGTGTCAAGGATGGGCTCACATCGGCAGCTTCCTCCACCCTCAGTACGCTCACGAGTGGTAACGTGGGCGACATCGTGTCACACATAGTACTTCCAGGTAATAGTTCCCACGTAAGGCTCCGCCATAACTCCTAGAGATCTAAATCCTGCAGGAAAATTACGTACATCTTACAGTTGTTAGTTAAACAATCAAATACGTCTACTATCTATAATGAATATCTCCATCAACTCAACAATAGATATATTCAAATTTTATCAAGTCTGACATCCATTTAGACAATAATTTGAACTTTCAACTGAACGTTCACTCAGAGCAGATATGGAGTTTCTTTGCTGAATATAAAGAGAAACCGTTACTTCATTGATGAAAGCTTTTTTAATGGTAAGCTTACTTCATAATAGGTCATTTTTGCTATGAATTCGAATAAAAATGGTACGGGACTAATGCTAAATATGAACTACGCTTCATTAATCATTGTGGTCGGTAAATAGTCATTGAATCTCGCTTCCTGATCGGTCATTGCTTTTTTCTCGGTGGTTGGTCAACGTAATCCTCAATGTGATTGGTTAATGCATACCTTTTCACGATTTGTCAGCTTCTAACGGCGATAACACCTCACTGTATTGTGGACAACATGGGCAGCCTAATACCGTAGTTCCAAGTGTGCCGATCTATCGACCGCATGCTTTATGTTGCGGTTCTGCTGATTGCAGAATGTAATTTTGTCCTTGCAGACGACACTATGCGTCGATGCTCAAGCCAATCTGCGTAGAATGAATCATAGTATAACTTGTGTTAAACTGCCCTTTCTCTAGTGTAATATCCAAGTGGTATGGCAACATCGGTTGCCGACTTTAATGTGGTATCTCACTTAATACCATGCCAAAGGCACCATAATAATAATAATAATAATAATATACAACATTTGATATAGCGCCCTATCTAGCTAAGATAAGCCACTCCAAAGCGCTTTACAGTACATAGATATACAATTTTATACAGTCAATACAATAAGCATATATATATTAATCTATACAATATTGAGGAATTCGCAGGAGCTGTCTTATCAGGCGCCAACTACTAGTCCTATGTCACCTGGCTAATATCTCCATATGTGTGTATGTCTGTGTGTGTGCTGGAGATGTATTGTGTTACCATGCATAGCATTCAACCCTGTCACATTATACTGACAACGGGTGAGCCAGTTATTACCATTACCCTAAATTAAAGACGACTTTCAGTGATGTTATTAATATTAGACAAGAAGGTATACAAATGTTGTGTACTATGTATTAATCCTTGTGATTAGTAAATGTATTGGTTTTTGGTTTGATAATAAAAACGTCACTTATGTGACTGTCACATATATTGTACAAGGCGTGCCTGTAACTTATCAAGGATGGCCCATGTTATAGGTATGATGACCTCTGCTGGCATGGTCATGGTTAAGCAACAGCGATATATATCTGACAAATCCACGATATTGCGCCATTAGAATTGTTCGAAATAGACCAGACAACTGGCATCAAATGTTAATATAACACCACTGTTGGGTGGTTATAAGGATTCGCAAAGACAAATCATCGCGTTATGTAAGAAATATTCTTATAAAAGATTGTCGACTTCGATCTACATGTGAAATAGGATACGCACATTGGTTAATAACACCAGTATACGAAACTCCATGTTTTCTATGTTTATCATGAGAATAAATAAAAGGAAATTTAAAAAGTAACAAATTTGTAAAGCTAATACAGTAAACTACTTACTTCATAATTTAAAGGTTTATATATTTCAATTACAAGTTTGTTTTTAATAGAGTTTAACGTCCGCGTAACAGCCAGAGTGATATGTCAATTGCTACTCATTTATCAGGCATGATTATTTTGCTATTCTAAAGTAGACATCTTTCCTTTCAATTACACCCTTTGTTTCACAGTTGCTGAACATGCAGCTGTTGCCGCCCTATTGGGAAAACGAGAGCACGCGTGAGTCATAATATGTCTATCGGAATCAGAGTACTTGTTCTTGTGGCAACAATTGTACGCCAATGTATCATACAGATATGAACTGACAGTAATGCTTTGTTCGAATGCTCATATGCTCTTTAATCAATTACACGACAGACAAATTAACCTTGGACGACCTTTCCGGTAGATTGCCTTGAACATCGCTGGCAACAAATGTTTGTTGGTAAATCTTAGATAGGAAAAACGTCACAATTTTAAATGTTGTAATGGACACATCAGATTAGTTGTTACTTTAATGTCCCTGTGTTAAGGGATTTTAAGTGTTTAAAAAAATAACAAACTTACTGATTTCCATTATAAATATATACCAAGGCATGGCCCAACAGTCCAGGAGGTGCTCAGCCACGGCGCCCAAGCAGCAGAATACGTGCTCGACAAATACGCCACCGAATTGCAACACTTCCATGAGCAAATCGCCAGTCTGGATTATCTGAAGGGAGATGTCAACCAATTCTTTGCGGACATGGAGCACTCAAAACGTAAGCGATGTCCGTAACATTACAGGAGTAAACAACAGGTGCAGTTTTCCTAATGCATGTTGGTTTCGTAGACTCTGTGCCGAGGAATAAGTAACTTCCGTAGTATTCTGTCAGTATCTTATGCATGTCCAAAGCGATGCTCATCACATTTAAGTAATATTGCCATGGTATTCTAGCGATACGTGATGCCAATAGAATTCCAGGAATATTTTCCGTCTACAGTAATTGTAGTGTTTAAAGTTACTGTAATATTCCAAGCGTAATCAATATTTCATTTCGAAAGTACATACGGGCAAGTATCCATAAAACTACTTAAGAAATCCATTCGGAGTACTATTTTATCATAGGATGTGAAAAAAAAAGAAATCCATTCGGAACAAATCTTAACTTAAGTTGTTTTATGTATACCAGCCCTGTATAAACTAAATGTAAGCTCGGATATCAATATTCCAAGAATATGTTATGTCCGTATTCACAACATAAACAATGTTCTTGTATTTTCCAAGCATACACCATCCTTTTCTAGAAGAGTAATTTGTCAGTTATTTATTACAGTGGTACACAACCTGGCCCTGGACAACATTGTGAGCAGTGTACAACAGGCACTGGCAAGTCACAAGAGACAGGCTGCGGACAATGGGCTCCTCTCTGGACTGTCCGGCCTGTTTGGCTCCACCATTGACAAGTTGAAGGAGGTAACGTGACCAGCAGAACTTTTGGCTGACGTGCTTTCATTTTAAAAACTTTAAAAAAAAATCGAGTCTTCTGAGATAATAGACTATGACAAAGAATAATGTGTAATCTACATAAAACTTACAACAGGCTAACGATTTTCGAATGATTGTTTACTCCATGAAAAGGGCAGACTGGAATGCTACTGCTCATAAAAGGAGTGTTAACAATCGTGAACTTCGTCACGTTTGCCATAGGTAGCTATTATTATCACACGTAATTGGTCACTGAGTTGCCATTCTAGAGGACAATCGAAGTTTAGTTATTTCGGTTATTCTTTGCATTGGAGGACAGAACATTATTCCCATGTCGTACAAGGGTCTTCCACCGTATTAAGGCTTTGTGTAAATTCAGCTGCACAAAAACAACCATATCTTGCCCCGAAGTGGTACACAATTATTACTGTTCATTGGAACAAAATGTTAGCATTTGTTCTACACATTTCGCCATTAAATTGAGCATTTGTTTTATTTGTATTGCTATCTGTTTAACGTCAACAAAATAGGTGTCATTTTTATAACAAGACATCTTACCCGTGGTTGTGGACATCAACAAATTAAACGTGTATCCCAGGGTAGGTATCTACACGCGCGGAATGTGGTTAAGAATGTCATGAAGTCTATTATTTAACGGAAGATAATTAAGTTTATCTATATCAGTATGGGGGTAATGTTTAACTCTTCACTTGACTGATACGGTAATGTGATAAGCTGCTAAGGAATTTACTAACTAATTAACCTCAGCTCGCTCGATGGTTTATACAACAAAAATTAAGATCATTGTTTTTAAGAACAACTGTATGGACATCATTCTTAAGGACGCATTTCAGTGTGCATAATGCAGATCATTGTATGGGAATACATTTTCTGTTTTTTAGAATTGAACGAGCCCAAAATGGGTCTTCGTTTATCTATCTCTGTAACGTGAACGAGTATGATTTTATCGTAAGAGGCGACCAAATTGCATCACCCATCCCCTTTGCGTATTTTATCGGTGATTTCTGCTTCGGGGATATCAAAGCTCCCACAATTGATCTGCTGTTCCATGTTCCATACCTTTTCTTGTCTCATTGGCTTCTTTTCCTTTCGCTGGTGTCTCCCAAGACACCAGTCTTTGTTTGTCCTACGCAGTTGCGAGGACGTTAAACGTAAAACAGGACACATTACCGACCGAATTGAGGCGTCTACATGGCGTCATTTGGGTTCGTCTTAATCCATACACACCGCAGATATTTGACCTGCTAATTTGACATTTGGTCCTGGAGCAGGGAGTAGGTGTATTCCATATTCCAAGTATTGAAGAAAAATGTTGCATAAAAAAATCTATTTTTCTTAGCTTTTTCATAGAAGAATCGTCCTTCATTCACAGTGATGACAATATATTTTGAAATATTTAATTTTAAATACAAATCAAAGGAGGGGTGCTATTTTGGGCCTTCTGGTGGCTATATGTATACCTCCGGGTTTATGCCACCATGATATGACATGAAATTTAATTCAGCTTGGAGACCACTCGAGATATGAGGGGGGAAAGTGGGGGACCAAAATCACAAATGAACGCTTTTTTTTACAAAGCCACATGTTATGTTTTGAAAGTTTCTTCATCATTTTGGTGTATTGCGTATCACTAAAGCTGCAAATATTAAAAATGGCAAAAAAAGTAGCACATTAGTAATAAGTAGGTCACTTTGACTTGCTATATATTGGCTAATTATGTCAACAATTCTTCCTTTTTGTTGCCTAAATACATATTAGAACCATACAATATCGGGAGGATGGGGGAGGGGGAGGGTGGCTGTCGAAATAAGCGGAGGCGGGGGAGAGATTTTTCTTTTCCACCTTTTTGACACTTTTGTTCATAAGTACAGCGTTTTAGCACAAAGGTTTTATGTATTAAAAAGTAAGCATTTACATACATTTGTTGTCAATCTGGTCTTACTCTGGAAAGTCGGATGTACCAATAAATATTGTTATAACATATGAATAAAAGGGTTAAAAAATAATGAAGAATTTACGGAATTTACCCATCACTCCCTCCTATCCGCCCTTTATTCCGATGCATTTATACAACAAGCGTTTAATACTACATGTTAATGTGGAATACGGGCAGTGTCTGCAAATACACAGCTCTGATCGGGAAGCCTGGTCTGTGAAAACATGTGTCAAAAGATTGTACTTTCGTTTTCGTTTATAGTCCGTTTCGTAATTGTTGTACGTAATAGATATTTATTGGTTGCAAGTGTGTGTCTTAATATGTTGTAGGTTTTTTAACGAATTATTGTCGAACCCCAATTCGTGAGTTTTGGTTTAAATACTTATCAATACAATTTGGTAAGAATATTGTATGGTTCTAATATGTATTTAGGCCAAAAAAAAAGAAAGAAGTGTTGACATTGTTTAGCCAATCTATAACAAGGTCACGGTGACCTACTTATCAACAATAGGCTACTCTTTTCGGCCATTTTTGATGTTTGAAGCTTTAGTGTTACGAAATTCACCAAAATGATGAAGAAACTTTCAAAAATATAACATGTAGTTTGGTAAAAAGGCGTTCATTTGTGATTTTGGTCCCCCTCTTTACCCTTTCATATCTCGGAGTGGTATCCAAGCTGACCTTAATTTCATGTCATATCATCATGGCATAAACCCAAGGTATTATGTGTATACAAAAATAAAACTTATCGGTGAAAGCCACCAGAAGGGCCCAGTAGGCACCCCTCCTTTGATTCTTTAAAAAAAATACAATAAATAACCTAAAGCCGCAAAATAAATGAAACTTTAGTTGAAATTGAATTTCTTTTGATTTATTAGGTGTCAGACTTTGTATAAATGACTTGAGTTTTGTGTAAATGTGAAATGATCACTGATCAGTTGAAGGATGTATGTCCCAATCCAACATCGTTCAAGTGCTTCATCGATTAAAAAACAAGAGGATACAGAAATCGATGAGACGTCGAAATTTGTGAACACCGAAATAGATTTTACATAGATACGATTGTAACAGTACATGGAGAAAAAGACCTTCATGAAACACTGTCTTAGCATTACCGTGTTAATAAATTTAGTTGGCTCATTATCACGTGCATAGCAAAAGCATATCTGTATATAGTTATAGAACGAGGACATCATGAAGAGGTTAAATTCTGACATCAATGACATCATACGCTTTGATGACAACATTGACTGTCATAAATACCGATTTACCGGAGGTTCGTGATTTTCCGTACAAAGTGACATGAAGAGTCGAATGTGTACCACATCATGAATATTTTTTAAATCCAGAAAACAAGGTTCCATAGATCACGATGAACAGTTACAATAGGATCATATTGGAAGTGAACATAATGTAGATCGAACATAGAAGGTTAATTTTGTTCTTCTAAGTTCCCTAAAGGTCCTCTAAGGTATTATTATATTCTACTGGACAGTTTGTTGGAATCCTGGACTTTACAAATTTCGCTACAAAATATCTAAGGCCATAACATCCAAACACCGTACCAATGCCAAAAGGCCTATGTAGTGTTCCGCTAGTTTCTACAGTAACATCTACTAATTCTAGGGTCATTGGGAGAGTAAAGTACAGACACCCATAGAAGGAAAAAGCTGTTCTTGAAGGTTGACATTTTGATATAACATTGATTCTCTACAATTCAATATTAGTTAAGTTCAATCGCTGTCACAATGTCATTTATATTTACAGACGTTTAACGGTGTCCACGACACACTTTCACAAGGATCAACAGGTATCCTTGGGGCTTTGACTGGTCATATTGCATCTCTGACCGATGGCCTCAGTCATCTCAAGGACACTGGAGCAGCTCTGCTAGCTTCTGGTCAGGAGACTTTGGCCTCCCTCCATAACACTGCCGGCGTACTGATCAGTAAGTATACAGCCATTTAACACGGCCAGTTCAAGCTCAATTGTTAAGTGTCTCTGGCTCTGTATGAAGATGTTCCTACACTTCAGATTTTTGGATACTTGTTTCAGTATAACGTGACCGGGAGGAATGCTGTGCTGGGTATATTAGGCATGGTATTTCAGTGAGATTGCACTATAAAGTAGGCATCAGATCCGCGCTATCACAAGGAGGCAAATACACCAACATGCCTTGCCTCCGACACACATTCACACATGTACATTATACATGGAGACACGTCTAAATGAACATTGCTGTTGAAAAGGCTTCAAGTATTTAGAATGTCTTCTTTCCAGGAGTCAAATATGCTGTGTTCGATATCAGGTAATACACATATCAAATATCACTCAGTTATCGCTACATGTTTTGTTACCGGGTCATTTAACAAATCAGTTATTAACACATTTAATAACACTACTTAGTAAAGGCGACAACATAATTTAAAGGTAGAGTTGAAATTGTTCTAATGCTTTTTCGTGGAATATTGATATTATGGCATATTATGTATTCCAATACCTGAATATGGGGATGTAGTATGGGATAACTGTAGTAACCAAAATAAGAATATTCGTGAGTCAATCCAGCAAGAGGCATTAACAATTATTACAGGATTGCGTAGAGGGACCTCTCATTGTAAGCTTTATGCAGAAACTGGGCTTGAATCACTTTGTTGTAGACGACAATATCATAAATTAGTACTTATGTTCAAAATTTTAAATAATGAATCGCCTCAGTACCTAGAAGACATCATTGAACCATAACTTCACAGCAATATAAATGTAAGATAACCAATAAGAAAGCCTTAATTTCAATCCCCCTTTCTGTAGAACTGAGAATTATTTCAATAGTTAGTTTCCCTCAATGTGTAGAGAATTTAACCCTCTATCTGCAGTAACTTTAAATGCTACTTCTTTTCAACAATTTAAAAATCTCATCAAGTCTGATAATATGAACAACACTGAAGAAATTGCTAGCACATTTAAATGTTATGGGCCAAGAAAATTCAATATCATAATTTGTCACCTGAGTAATCATGATAGCAACCTAAATAGTGACCTATTTACGGATCATCTGAATGACACACCAGCATGTAGATGTGGACATGAAAATGAAAATGCTTTTCATTTTATATTTGAATGCCCACTCTATAACAACATGAGAATGCAATTAGTAATAAAAAATATCTCAATTTGGTATAACTGGTTATTGATTATTTTAATTTAAAAACTCTATTAAATGGATGCTTAATATGCAGCGCTGATATTAACATATCCATTTTACAAAGTATATCTGACTACATTTGTCAAACTAATAGGCTTGATATGTAATCTCACTCACAGCAAAACTTTACATTGAAAGTGATGTTATTATTTATAGTGGCATGATCACTCTGCTAATAAGTATTGATACTGGTGTATATCTATTTTCACAACATTTCTGGTATTCGGCTGGACTGGATGGAATTTATGAGTGTTCTATTATGTAACCTCTTCTAACTATTTCATAGTTACATGAATATTCTATAGTGCTTTGTTAAATAAATTTTCATGAGAATCAACTCTAATAATTTATAATAATATCTACAATTTCCTATATGAATCCATATCATATTCTGAAATTTTACAAAATCTTTATTTCTTGGTAACTTATCCTATATATCCAGTGGGTGGATGGCCATTGTGTAACATCTGTTGAATTGAAAAAAAAGGCATATTATGTAATGTTCTACAAATAAACTTCATACAATGTTTTGTTCTCTTCGTAGTAGCAAAATCGTGTACTTATGCTTACCTATGTGGTACATATCATGTACAGAGAATATCTAGTGAATTAGTGGGGTTTATATAGTACTATGTCTCGTGTTTTGTCGATTTATTTAACGTCTCTGTAAGATGGCCGTAAGTCTGACATCCTTAATATTATTTTATCGTGATTAAACGTGATGTCAAATATTGTATATATTTATAACTATTTGACAAAATGTAAGACGAGTCATTGACTCAACTTTGTCATCAAGTATATATTAATAATAACTAACAAAACAAGAAAATCACCTGTTACTACACCTCACGTCATCATGTTTGTTTACCGACTCCTGTGTGTTTGTCTACAGATCAGGCCCAGGCTGGAGTACAAGGACAGGCAGCTCAGGCCCTGGATACCCTGCTACACCCAGACCTCGGTTAAAGACTCGCTGCTATACATCTTCGTGTTTATATGTAATAAACGTGCTAAACATTCGTTACATGTGTATTTATATGTTTGCTTAAAGTCTTTTGGTCGCTATTAAGTGGAGACGTATTGAGAACAATGATAAACGCATGTTTCTCGACTTCTATAATGAATAGAATCTAACGCTCATGTCCATGCAATATTGATTTACTAAAAGGGTTTATACATTTCTTATGAGACTTATCGCTCCTGTTACAATCTCTATATACGTAATCCTTTGTCTACATTGACGCCTAATGCTAATCAATAAGATAACATTTGTCATTTCGTGAATACTCTATACTTAGTAGTTTGCCAATGTTGGTGTATTATATCTCGATTTAGAATAGCGTATAATGTTCAATTCTGTATGGTCTACAAATTGTATAAGAAATCTGTTTTTATACTGCTTTAAGCTGACATCATCACGGTTTTTCCTGATTAACCTATATATAGAATTATATCTACTGTAAATGTATTTTTCGTATCACGTGTGATTTGAGTTTCGTGTCTGAACGTTGACCTAAGCTGAGTTTGATCCAGGTCCCTGTTTAGTGTATGTCAACGGTAGCTCAATATATATACCAAAAACACGAACAAGTTGTGTATTCAATCATCTTTCTTTTACTGTCTCCGAGAAACATTCAATACAGGAGAATACAATTAATACATTCACCCTCACATATACATACTGTAATAGGGCTAGGAGCATTTACAAGAGGGTGTCGCCGCACATTCGCGTTGTGTTCTAATTTCAAAGGTTTCAGAAGTGGCGCCACCCGGTTGTATCAGCACCTACTACGCGGTGTGCCAATATCATAGAGTGAACAAACCGCAAAGAGCTGTATCTAAAGTTTAACAATTTAATATATTAACAAAATGATATTTACAATGAGATGATACAAGCTTTGTTCATTAGCCTTTGTCATAATAGTACTATAATGTAATACTGTACAAACACAAATGGGTTGAGGTAACCCTAACATGTACCAGATACTGGCTAGTGTATAAAGTGGCAAAATGGCTAATTATTACCAACGAATCTCAGCGTAAAGGAGAGATTACAAGTATAAAGTTGACAAATGAATGAGGTAGAGAATAAATATGAAACTGGTGTGCCCTAGGTATAACTACCCCCTGTAAAGATGTTCCGCTACATATACATAAGTGAAGGTCACGTGTATGCGTAATAACCACCCGTCCAACCAAATACAGTATAAGTTCAAATACTAAAACTGCATTATACTGACTACTTCCCAAAACTACACACTACATTATGTCAAATCCCCTACCCGGAAGCTATGGACTACAGAAACATTCTGCTGGCGAAACGAGTGATAAACACGCTACAGATCGAACCCCTATAATACTACACCCCGTTCACGGGACGAATTATAAGAGTAACGAAAGGATTATTAGAAAAGGGAGGCTTACCTCACATGAGAGTAGAGGAAAGAAGTATAGTCGGCAGCCGACCACAAGACAGAGACCCGACCACCTCGAACTATCCGGCTAGATACCCGAGAAAATAGTCTCTAACCACAAGACTCCATTAAACAAAATCCTACGAGACGAACGATTGGCTGAACCCGAGACGAACAGCCAATCACAAAGCGGCTAACAAAATATAACCACTTCCGCCAATATAGCAACGAAATAGGACAACACACAGATCACAAAGTGTTCTGTAACAAAATACCGGAATTAAAAGAATACAAATAACGTACGGTGTTACAAAATGGAACCTAGAGGTGACAAACTGTCTCTTCTAGCCAAATGACACAGTGTCACGATTTACAACTCTAAAAATCATAACGGCAAAAACCGCCTCTGCCACAAAACAATAAATACTAAACATCTTCCGCGCCGACCGAGGAACCGGACCTCTGAATACAGACCGATATAAATATTTTAATTAAATAACATTTTAATACAATCACACGACAGTTATTACATTAATACTGTTATACATACCGGGTATGATGTTCCTTGGGTAATTCGTTAATGAATGCTTGCGGCAATGTGTCCATGCGCCTCTAAACAACCAGCCGATCTAGAGCACATATCCTTCTCTTACGAGTTGGATTGTAAGAATGACCACTTGGCAGAAATCATTTACCCAGTAGCCGACTTTTTTGTTTTTCCTTTTGTAATTCGTTTTTTTTTATTTTCATTTTTATGTACATTATACATCTTCATCAAATTAGCAGATATCATAATCATCATTCATCAAGCATCTTCCATCATAAACAATAGCCTCATTACCAACACATCTCAACGACATGCATCATCCTTATCATCATTCTCATTATCTTTATTTATCATCACTTTTTTGTATAAAACAACATCGCATCATATAACATACAATGCATCATCATCATCAAAGCAATATCTTTCAATATACTTCCTTTCATTTTCGACTCATCATCATGTGATTGTATCGTCATAATCATACAGAGAAAAAATACAAATCAACACTGGTCATTACCATAAATACTCGCATCATGTGCATGTGATCATCTTCATTACTGTTATTATCAAGAAAACCAGAGCAAAAAAATATACAAGGCATGTTTTCATCACATTCTCATCAGCATCATTAATTACCGCGTGTCATCCATACTCTATTTCTCATCATTCCTACACATTCTATTTTGATCACCTTTCACATGTCACATTGACCAGTAGCCAAAATATAGTGGTGGGAATATAGGGTGCTTTATTTGTGTAAGGGGCAGATCCATAAGATGGCCGACAAGATGTGAAAATTTAATTATTTGTGTACAATGTAGAAGTGTACCATGGTACACACAAATATGAAAATTCAAATCATTTCGTACCATGCGTGGTACATAAAGATTATACAAAAAAAACTTTTTACTTTCACATGTATATGTACGAACAGCCGATATCAGCCGGCAAACTGATTTTGAATTTTCATATCTTTCTGTACCGCGGTACATTTTTGCCCGGTACAAAGAGATATGAAAGCTTCTCTCCTTTTTGTACTGCGTTACACTTTTTTCATTTCTTTTTGACCCAATTACGGTACAAATAGATATGGAAAAAGTGTACCATGAAAGCACGCGTTACGCTTTTTTCATTTCTTTTTGTACCTCCTAAGGTACAAATAGATCTGAAAAAGGGTACCACCAGAGCATAGGAATGTTGTTTTCGGACACTATGACCAGAACTGACCCCGAATAGTAAAGCCCTAATTACAACGTCAAAACAAGTCTTTAAGTTCATTAATCACTTCTGATGAAAATCAGAGTTAGTTGCAATTGTGTAAGTATTGGGGCCTTGACAGGGTCTCCAAAAGGGATAAAGGACATCTGTATATTTTTGTCATTTCCCTTGGTTTTTATAGACAACTAGCTCATCGTATTTCCCTTAAAAATAAATAAAAAGGTAGCCTATTTATCCTTCGATGTAATCAAATTGATTGACCCCTTTTGTTTCTTTCATTTAAGAAGTTGAAGCAGATAGAATACATTAGAAATGTAAGTATTAGAAAAAATATCCATAATGCCTCCCTTTTAACGTAAAACTTTTATAAAATTCGGTAAAGGATATTGAATAGTTGATTTCAATTGAAATGAGTAAGTAATAGTTTGGTAGCTCATTTGTTGTAATCAAAATAGCAGACATTCCGTGCGATAACATTTCATTGTATGCGATGACAGCCTTATCAGGGTGTAGTTTGTCATACTTGGTAACATTTTCGTCTGATGGTTCCACATGCTTCTATACAGTGGCTTTTTTGGCCGTTATTTTGGTACAGAAAGATACAAAAGCAACGGGTTGATTTTATTTCTGCTTTCATGTCTTTGTGTACCATGGTACACTTTTACATGGTACACAAAGAATTGAATTTTAATATCTTTGTGTACCATATAAAAGTGTACCATGGTACAAAAAGATATGAAAATTAATATCTTTTTGTCAGACTCTTGTAGGTCATCGTAGGTTCAAGGTCTACGTCGTAACAGAACATAACAACACAAGTACATACATTTCGAACGGATGACGTCACATACACTGTTAACCATACGGGACAGGACACGTGTATAAAGACAGTTGGCAGCACTCGTTGTAAACCCCGGTTACATGTATATATAAACTGTGATTGCCGAAAATTTCCACTTTGTGTTAGTAGGCCGTTACGACTCCAGTAACATAAACTTATTGTCGGACATCTACATTATCGTAAGTACATTTTATTTATGTTGCCTAGTGTTTATCTTCTTTCCACATCAATGATAAATAGTACACAACATCATGATTTATAAGTTTTTTCATATGGTTAAACGTTTTTAAAGGTATGGGATTTTATTTGTAATTGTTCGATTGTCGTAGCTGTAATATGTTTAAAGAAACAACAACACAAACGGGTACCTTGTAAAGGATCCTACAACAAACCCAAATTATAGTTAAACTCGGTGACACCAGCGATAGACCTGTCTGTGTGATTAGTGTGATTACAACTGTTCCTTTATAACGCTTCTGGACAATGTTCTAGACATTTATATCCCGCAAGGACAATATCTCTCGCCTGTTATTGGGTCGAAATTTACAACATTGAAAACGTGCTAGATCATCCTTACTTCTATTGGCGATTCCACTCTTCAATGAAATTAAATCAATAAGTATAAATAATCCAATTTTTTAAGGTCAACAAAATTCCATATATGGCATATGTAAACAAATACATGTACAAGTGTTGACCTCTGACCCGGTAAAAGTAGGTCGAGAGAGCATTTATAATTTAAATATAGATACACCTAGCACATAGTATATTTTAGGTGAACATGACAAATAAATTCTTAGTAAACAATGCATAAACAGAAATATCTCGATACAGATGACAACATCATACATATTCTTTTCATTTATTTATAAATACGACTAAGAAACACAAAGCCGAGATGCCCATGAATACTACGGGTATAGTTGATAAGTCACACAAATATATAGCTACTGGGACATCTTTAGTACATATATTTGCGATGACAATGTACTTACTTTTACCACGACCTACTGTGCTTCTGCTGGAGAGACACTATTCTTGCCACGTGCGTCAGCTGGGGCTGTACTTCCGGCAGTAACACGGTAATTACCTCCCTTTTTTGAGGTAGCGCAACACGAATAAATGGGACAGTCGTGCCAGAGTTAACAAATGAATGAAAGAGTGAGTGAATGAAATTATGTTTTGTATGTTGAAATTAATGTTTTATGTTCACATTTAAATTGCCATAACAGTATATTATGTTATGATACTTATGTTTGTATCCGATCTAAGCCACTTAGTGCTATAATGGACCTTTGGTAGCGAGGAGCTGGAGTGATGGTGAGCGAGGGGAGGATACAAATATAAGCAGGCCTGACATAAAATCAAAAACAAACACTTGTGAATAATATGAAAAAAGTTATAAACCGATAGTTTATGAAAGAGAGTGAGAGGTATAACGCCATGAAAGAGAGTGTGGTGTATGGAAGCCCTCCTACGAGAGGACACTATTTGTTAATTTCTAACATGCTGGGATTTGTTTAAATAAAAATGAAAATAAAACAAACCACCCAGATCGTTAGAATAGATAGCTTTATATGATTTTAATGGGTTATAACTATATAAAGTTTGACAATAAAAAGGAAAGAAAAAAGGAAGTTTAAAAAAATAAATAAAAAAACCGTGCTAGAATATCCACTTCAACAATCAGGTTTGCATGATAATGTAGACTTGGAGACTGTGCCGTTTTCTGCGACTTAAAACGCTAATAGTTACCTACCTAACTTGAGCAACATTATAAAATCGCCCAATACAATGTACCAGTGGTTAAAGCCAATACTTGCTACGGTCATATTAGATGTTGCATGAACAACCGCCTGTGTTACAATATATTGTGTTGATTATTTTCGGAGTCAGCTTCAGAAGGGCTGGACTTTAAGATATGTACACTGATGATGCCATGTGGATATACTAGGATATCACTGAACTGAATTTTAGATATCATCAGTTCCATTTTATGTATAATCCCATTTAGGTTACTTAAAGTAAACATATTTTAATACACCATTTAATTCGAGTCAAAACGAGCATGGATAATAATAATGTTAATTCGGTGTACCAATCTGCGATGTTACAAAATGGAATTCATGAAATGAAATATAGCCTGATTAATTTATATCATAACTTGAATTGTGATATCATAAAATCTCTTTAATGATATCATATTTTTTTATATTATATAGCTAAACGGTTTTCAACTGTGATACAAATATATCATGAATTGGATTTATGATATCACAAAATAATGAATTATATTACAAATCAGGTTTAATGATACATTCGTGTAACACTTTTTTTCAGATTTTTCAGAATAATACCAAAACGGCACCCAATACCTGTATAAAGTTAATTGAATTATTTCCAATAAGCGCCACAGGAAAGAAATGTCCAAGTACATCCGTTATAAGTATCATGATAGAATTATATACTTTAAGATTCTTTATTAGTTTAAAAGGTCGTTATCGATGCCCTTATTGGTCACATATGTCTCCTTTTATAATACAATTAAGCGTCTGGCACCTATGGCTAAGATTCATACTAAAGCGTACTAGTAAATTATCGTCAATTTAGACAACAATGAGCTGCCCTGTTGTCCTTCGAGTCCATGTATCATATTCATTTCAGGCAAGTCAATATTCAGAAAGGGGTAGGTATGCATCAGGTCAGCAAATGTGGACAAGTTATAGCATCAGCTTGTGCATATCAACCAGGACCAGTCTCGTTCAACGGTATTGGCAAATATCGGGAGCTGGTTTGTTACCCGCTTGATTATGGTGGGCTTTTTATTGAACATATCGGCACTAGTTATCTTGAACTGTATGTTTTTATTCATTTTAAATATCTCCTATAATTCAAATACGTGCATCGCTTCAAATCCATACTTTCTAAATATACTTATGAGTCATGTATACTGTAATAAAAACGACCGCTTACAGTCTCGTGTGTCTATAAACGTCACGTTATTAAAATTGGTGGCTACCCAAATTGGTACATGGCCAGAAAAGCTTTGATTTGTACTTAACAATTAAAGAATGAATGTCATTTTTGGCCTTATGATGGCTATCACCGATAAGTTTTATTTGTTGTATATACATACCTTGGGGTCATGCCATCATGATATGACATGAAATGAAAGTAAGCTTGGAGACCATAGCATCATATGAGGGGTAAAAGTGGGAGACTAAAATCACAAAACGGTATCATTTGGACAAAACTTCAGGTTCTATTTGAAACTTTTATCGTAGTTATAATGTATTAAACTAAAGCTGCAAATAATAAAGTGACGGGAAAAGTAGCACTGTGACATTGTTATATATCGACAAAGTTATGTCAACGAAGATACGTCTTCTCTTAATCTTTTCTACAAATCAGATATATAGACATATTCTTTAGTTTGTTACCCATTATTTTCAGATCATGAAAGTGTTCCTGATTTGTCTCCTATTCGCCGGAGCCAATGCCGGCTTCCTGGATTCTTTACAACAAGGTCCGACCAATGTCAAGGAAGAACTCGCTTCGAAAGTTTCCGCCCACCTCAGCCCTCTATTAGGCGCGGAATGGGGCAACTTCTTGGGACACATATTTGTCGAAGGTGTCGAAGGTGAGGTTCACAAACAAGGTCGCATTTGCTTTGTCTGGAACAAATGGCGTCTCAAAGTTATTGGTTAACAAGAGGCCCAGAGGGCTTGTATCGTTCACCTGGAAATGTTAGCAAAATTGAAGTTGAAATAGCCAGATGTTGCTAGAAGTGTACATGTATTACATGGTTAGTCAGGGGTTATATTTATAGGCAGTTGGAAAAATCCTGTCATTCCTAAATTAAAAGGAGGTTTCGAAGAATTTGCTTTGTTTCCCCTATTAGGCTCCACCCCTCTTCCTCCAGGGGGTCAGACCCATCGTTGATACAATATAAGGTCCCATTCATCCAAGGATGCTTTATATAAAATATGGACATACTCCTGTCATTCCTACAGAAGAAGAAGGATTTTAAAGCTATTTTTCTATTTTCCCTACTTGGCCCTGTCTCTCTGCCAAAAGATGGGTTAAACCAACCATGTATACAGAAATGGTTCCCCTTCACTCAAGGATACTTTATCCCAAGTTTACTCAAAATCCTGTCATTCCTACAGAAGAAGAAAGATTTTGAAGAATTTGCTATATTTCCCCTATGGGGCCCCGCCCCTCGCGCCCCAGGTGGTTCAAACCCACCATGTATACAAAATTGATTCCCCTTCAAAATAGGATGCTAGTGTTCAAATTTGGTAAAATACCTTCATCCCAATGGAAGAAGAAGGATATTAAAGCTATTCCTCTTTACTCCGTATTGGGCCCCGTCTCTCTGCCCCCAGGTGGGCTACGCCCACCGTTTTTACAAAATTGAGGTAACTTAGCCCAAGGATGCTCCAGACCAAATTTAGTTCAAATAAAATTAAGCGTTCAGGACTAGTAGCATTTGAAAGGAAAAGTTGACGGACGGACGGCGGACGCTGCGGTTCGGACCAGGTGAACTAAAAACAACCGTAGTTTTTATATCAAGGTTAAGGATTGATATTTGTTCCTTTATTACTACCAAGTGTTGGGGCATCTTCAAATTTGTATTACATATATGTATAAGGAAATTATTTGAGGCAATCTATTTTGCTTCCTATCTAAATACTATCATCTGATAGTGTTATCATGTTTACACGTCAGTATTAAACGTGACGAACAAAGAATAAGTTTCCTCCGTGTTGATTACAGAGATATAGTGTGGAAAAAATAGCTTGTTACAATATTGGGATTTCCTTTCCAATTAATTCGTTAATGTAAAACTTGTGGCGATGTGTTCATGCTTTTGTCACTGACCTACAATGTACCATCTACATTGTATCTCTTTATGAACAACAAACCATCGGCATCATGTCCCAGGCATTATTTGAGGTAAAGACATTAAGCACACATTGTTTAAACTTAACATTTATTCTCAGTGTCGGTGTTTTCATTTCTTTTTTCAATTGAAACCATTCGCAAAATTTAAAAAGATTATAGATCAACATCTTACAATACAATTTGCTTGCTAATCATGTAAATAATTGATATACCAAATCATTTGATTGGTGAGTAACATATAAGATATGCTTATCTCAGTCATAGTGTTTTATTATACAATATATAAAACGTGTATCAAGTACAATAACATATCCTTCTTCCACAGTCGCTGGAGTTGCAGTTATCGGAGCCGCTATTGGAAAGCGAGAAGTTCCGTAAGTTAAATTCTAATTAACTTCACGTAATTGTATTTATCAGGGTTACGTCCTTCTGGAAACCATCCGCGCAATTCGTTTCAAAATTCTATCAATCTTATAGCATACATTTGACAGCCATACTGTTCTTCAGGTTCCTTCAATTCGTTCTTTTCACATTTGTTCGTTCTTTAGAAAATCTACAATAGTTTTGATTGCATTCGCAATGTCATCAACAATTTCTACCAATTTCCCGGTTATGATGCGGGACAATGAGAGTCAACCATTATGTTGAATTTGGTTTCAGAACTCCCCTATCCAAAATGCTTATATTGTTTATCTATAAGTGCTTTATTCGAACCCTCATCTTACAGTTACATGTACATTAAAAGCACACAGCGTTTTGGTAAATCTATATATATCCTAACAAGGTGACTGAATTCAGAAAACAAAAATCAAGATAATGTACCATAAATCCAGCTCGTGAAGTATACTAGGAACACCACACGCACTGAAGTTGTGTAAAAATCATAGAAAGCGAGGCAAATAAAAAGTCAAGCAGTTGTAATCAGCAAGGTAGATGAGATATGGTTGTGTCCCTTTCTCAGCAAACACAGACCCAACTGTCCGCAGGGGTTCTCATTTAACCTTTTCCCCGATCCTCAATAATGCAGATACATATTTTCTACGAGTAAAAAACATTTATGGAAGGAGTACTCACGTTTAGAAAAATTCCAAATTAACAACTTTTTCTAATACATCTTTACCCAGACATAAGGTAACAATCAAAGACGTGCTTCATAACGGCGCCAGGGCTTTGGAGCAAATGTTCGACGACTATGCCACAGAACTACAGCACTTCCACGAGGAGATCGCCAGTCTCGCGTATTTGAAGGGAGATGTCAACCAGTTCTTTGCCAGCATGCAGGACTCAAAACGTAAGTAATGACCAAACGATTACAGGAGTAAACAACACCACCAGCTTTACCCAGAATGATATACAACGGAAAGGGTATGGCTGTCCACAGCTTTAAAGTAATTATTGATGTCCACAGTAGTCACAAAATGGGTTAAGTTGCCAGTAGTCACAAAATGGGTTTGTCCGTAATAGTCAAAAAATAGGTTTAGTCCACAGTAGTCACAAAATGGGTTAAGTCCACAGTAGTCACAAAATGGGTTTAGTCGGCAGTAGTCACAACATGGGGTTTGTCCGTAATAGTCACAAAATGGGTTTAGTCGCCACTAGTCACAAAATGGGTTTAATCGGCAGTAGTCAGAAAATGGGTTTAGTCGGCAGAAGTCACAAAATGGGTTTGTCCGTAATAGTCAAAACATGGGTTTAGTCCACAGTAATCACAAAATGTGTTTTGTTTGCCACAGTCGCAAAATTGGTTTGTGATGTTCGCAGTTATATTACACACATATGTTAAAAAGCGAGATTATGTTTCATTTCTTACAGTGATACACGATAAAGAACTTGACAACATTGTGTCCAGCGTAAACCAGACATTGAGATGTGACAAGAGAAAGAGAAAAGCTATCGACAACATTATCTTCTCCAGGGCGTGCGTACAGTTTAGCTCCGCCGCTAACAAGCTGAAAGAGGTACAACTTTCTTCCACGTAGATTGAATCACCCGCAGTATAGGTTTACTTAGTTATCGTCTCTAGGGTATAGATGTGAATAGGTAGCAGTTCGGTCATTCGCTACAGCGTACATTACACGCGTTATCGTTGTACTAGTGTAACAGAAATCATTATTGGTCCAGTGCCTCCGCAAGGGATCAAACCCGGAACCTCTAGTTTAGTAGTTTTACATTTTTTTCCGAATGAGGCTAAGAAAAATTCTTCCTTGCTAAGTCGGAAGGAAGCGGCTATTATTTCAACCTATGTGATACAAGTATCAGCCAACATATGTAAGATAACCTCACCTCACTGGTCAGTTAGTTTTCTTGAGAGTGACCAGCGAGTATAGGTAAGATTCCATTCATTATCTTATATTCACATTTTCACTGCAAGTTCCTCCATAAGCATAAAGAGAAGAAATTGCGTTCATAGAGATATGAACGCAATTTGATCAGTGTCATATTGAAGTTTCTCTTCCCACCTCGAATAGCATGAGAAAAACGTTAGAAGCAAACATTTTGATGATGGTTGTACTGGCGACACAGAAACTTCTATGTCAAAACGGAATATGCAAGTACCCGATTTGTGTTCATTGCAGCCATGGAATTAATAAAACGTACCGTTCAGTTCTTATACTTGATATCTTTTTGTGGTATTATTGATGGAGAAGATATTCGCAATCCGTTCTACAATATTATACATACATATGTAGTTTTCATTTTGAAAATGATGAGTCATAATCTTGTATGATAAAATTATGCTATAGTTTTTAGTCGTTATCATTTATTTACAGACGTTTAGTGATGTTCACAACCGACTTGTAGGAGGGTCGAAACATATCCTTGAAGCTGTGAATGATCATATATCACTACTGAACGATACCCTCTCTCACTAAGAACACTGAAATAGGTCTCCCAGCGCCATGATTGGTAAGTAGTATACGAGTGTTTGAATGTGAGGATTGGATTACACGTTACAGGGTCGGGTGTTGTAGATTTGTGTTGCTTTCTGTCTGACGGTCATTGATTTGTACCATTTTTTCCTTTTCTCCCCGTAGTTAATATACAACTGTTTGATTTCCTACGCCTTGTGTTATCGCTGTGTTTGTATACTATGTCTTGTTATTTTTCAATAATTTGTGTCTACAGGTCACGACGTAGGACAAGCTCAGACAGCCCAGCCACTGGATACACTGCTTCACCTCGACGTTGGATTGTAGACTCACATCTACATTACCTAAGAATATATTATAAAACCACATGAGTGTAATTTATGCATCACTTTTTATATAAAACATGTCATTAGATTACTGAAATAATGTTTAAATTCAAACACATTTCGAATTTACGATTTGTGCCCTTCAAAACTTCATTGGAAGAAATTTACATTATTTGAATACTCCCAATGCTGATAATGACTGGGTAGCACAACCATGGCCATCAGCCGACCAAGTGAACGGCGTTTATTGTCGAAGGCTTTGCTGTAGAGGTAGTTCCATTTCCCATTACCAGCAGTGTGGTACTATAAATATATTGGTACTATACACCAACATGGATTCCTGTGTGTACATTTGTCAGAATCTCATGATTGCCGTGTTTATAAGTGATGCTTCACGTCGTGTCATATATTGTTGCTTCCACACATCTACTACTCTAAATGTGAATGAGTCCTTAACTCCATGATGCATTGGCTTTTTTGTCATTTATATCAAAGTATATAGATTGGAAGTGACTTGGTTTTTATATTGATGTTCTGCATCTGTGTTCTACAGTCTAGCTTATCATCCACCGTGGCACCTAAATAATGTTCACTGGTAAGGCTTTTTAGTGTCGTTTTCTGGTCGTTCTGGTCCGTGAGATGATAACTTCTGCTATGTAGCTTTGATCCTTTGGTACACCTTTACATTTATGGAATTTTGATAACCAGTTGTCTGACCAGTTATGAAGTTGATGTAAATCTGATTGTAGAATTTTATATCGTCTCTGTTACTAATTATCCGGTATATAGAGAATAAAACATGCATTTTTTTCCATATCGCACCCAGTATCAACCCGAGACTGCAATATCAGCCCAAGGGGCGAAGGCCCGAGGGCTGATTTTGGTCGAGGGTTGATACCGGGTGTGATATGGAAAAAGGCATGCTTTATTTTGTTTATTACATACTTACTGATAAAAGCTACTATCTTAAGAGCAGTTGTGTCGTATCGCATACACACAAAAAACATATGTATTAGTAAGTATGTAATAAAGTTTGGTATCATATGCGAATCGTGGGTAGGGAGATAATATGTTCTCTGGCATATAATTTATATTTTTTATTTATATACAGAGCCAACTTTTTATGTATATTATTCAGGAAGTCTTCTTTTCCTTGTATTGTCTTATGGCCGATTCCATATTTAAGGTACCTTATCTAAGACTTTCATAAAGTCCATACAAATGACATCGAGGTATCCCCCCTGTATGTAACAAGTGGGTCAAGTCATCTAAAACTATTAGCATCTGGAGTGTTGTTCATCTTCAAGTCAAAAATCCAAATTGTGTATTGCTAAATAAATTTGCATATGCTGCACAATGGAATGACGGATAATTCTCCATGGTTTTTACCATGACACCTTGTGAGGCTCACATGGCGGTAATTCCCTGGGTAAGATTTAGGCCCATTTCTGTAGATGGCAGTAATGTCAGTAATGTTTGCATCCCTCTATGTTTGAGGTAGTTTTATTTCCTCCAACGATTTCTGAAATATTATTGACAGAGGTTTACTTTAAACGTTTTCCTTGAATGCGTTTGTGTTGATTTCATAAGGAACTGATGATTTATTTCCATAACATGTTATGAGAAGTTTTCTAATAGTATCTTCGTTATGGGGTGTGTCATTGAATTGTTGGCGGATGGTTCTAGCTTCAAACCTTGATTACTCTCCTATTGGTTCTTTAGAAAAGACGCTGGTGAAAAAGTTAGTCAGTACCTCTACTTTATCTGTATCGCCGTTAGCGAATTTGTTAGGTCCCTATTCATTCCTTTTATATCTGAAATCCCTGTTCTTACTTTCGCATTTGAATATTTCCTAAAGCATTTAGGTTAATGTTAAGCATTCACTGCAATCTCTTTTTCAGTATCCTTCTTAGTTTTCCTTAATTCAAGCATTAACTTGAATGATTTATTTACGTTTATGAGCCATAACATTAAAAGGGGTGTACTCTGAATGAACCGCGGAGCGGTTGATGAAAAGAGTACACGCCGGACCCAAAGTATTTCTTTTATCAGTTTTTTTTATTTGATGAGCTGATAACATAGAAAATTAACCCGATAGAAATGCTTGTTTCAAGCAGAATTAAATTGTTCCAACTTTTGCGCTGGTTCCTGCATCTTGCATACACATTTTATTTTCTTGTGACTTTTTTCCATTTATTGAGTCCAATCCCTTGTTTCTTGCTGGTTTTTCTTGACGACTTCTTGACTTAAAGTTATACCGTCCTTGTTATTGTTGCCGATCGATGGATGTTTGTTGTCGTTGGTAAGTGGCTATCTGCCGGACGGAACTACATGCCCCTACAATGTCCTGTTCTGAGAGTGTGTTCCATTTGATTTCCTGTAGTTCCTTATGTATATCCTGTGCTGGCTGTGATCGCTGTGCTGGCTGTTCCCAAAAGGACATTCGTATTCTATATCACTGATCATCTCTGTTACCTTGCTCGGGATTAAGTCCAAGAGTTTTTACTCGTTTCCATTTCTGAGGCGGGTACACTCATTAACATGTTGATATAAGCAGTTATATCTAACACGTTCTATAAAATCGTCTACCTGTTGATCTCCCTTTGATGACTTTGCATTCCGATATATCTTTGGAAGATTGAAGTCTCCAAATATTAATAAATGTGAGTGTAAAATCTGACTGACGAGACTGTATAAATTAACTTGTACAGATTGTCGTTGTTATTCTTTTTTAGAGTTTTGGCTCCTATATATACATCCGATTAATACATGGCCCATTTCTGGGGGGTTGATTTTAATTTTTCATACTGCAGCTACTTCCAACGGGTTGAGACTTTCCTTGATAAAGACACCCCGATGCCTGTTAGGGTACTTTTTATTTACAAAGAGCTCATACCCAGGAATGTTGAGTTCAGCTTAACTTTGTAAACACCTGTAGTTCTTGAGGTAATTCTCTGTAAAACCTATAACTTCTATACTATTTATTTTTGTCTTTGATCTTTCAGTTTATCTAATTTATTCAAAAGACTATCTGAGTTAATTTAGAAGTGAGTTTTGGTTTTTATTTTCACAATTGTTCTGTTCCGTGTAGGCATTTTACTCGAATTCTGTCTTATTCCATCTCATGTTAGTAGTACAGGGTACCTTTATTGTGTGAAATACGACGTGTGTGATTTTAATTGATGTTCTAAATAAATGGTTTGTGTGTGCTTGAAATCTTGTTTTTATTTCCTTCATAACTACTCAACGCCCATCCTACGTTACAAATAGTTTATTTAATTTGGAACAGCACTGTTATTTGGCTCATTTACTACACACACTGTATTTAACACCTCTTCTGATTGGACAAAAATAATATATTTTGTTGAGAAATATTGCTTGATATTATAATATTACCCCGAGTTTGGACACGCCTAAAAGGTTAACTTATGAACGGAAACTTCTTAAAAATTTGCCATGAACATATTTTTTTGCAGGGGCGTTAGCAATCGTTTTACATGTTCCGATCTGCGTCGCTAGTAAAATTCAATTTGTCAGAACAAAGTATCAAAATACATGTACACCACAGCAGAAATCAAAACACAAAAGGGTTTCAATTAATTAAATACACAAAAGAAAGGAATTAAGTAATACAAAATCAATATACAAAATATGTATAGGGTTTCACAACCTGCTGACATATGAATATCGGTGGCTAGTTTATATGTGTTTATAGAGGACACTATAATTGTCCTACGTTATGATAAAGGCAACAAATCATAT